TGCTCACCCCCGGATGAGTGGAAAACTTGGCAAGTTTAAGTTTATCAAATGCAGCTTGTGCCTCGGGTGTCCATTGGAAGGTTCTTTTGACTGAAGTAAGAGAAGTTAGTGGAAGAGCTGTCTGACTGTAATTCCTGATAAATCTTTGATAAAATTTGGCGAAACCCAGGAATCTCTGCAGCTGCTTACGGTTTTCAGGTACCGGCCACTCCAAAACTGCCTTCATCTTATCTTCAGAAGGCTTAACCTGCCCGCCCTCGAGCACAAACCCCAAAAAGGTGACTGAAGACTGATGAAACTCGCATTTTTCGGCTTTGACAAAAAGTTTGTTCTCCAGTAATCTTTGTAATACCAGGCGGACATGTTTTTTATGCTCAGAAAGATCCTTAGATTAAGTGAGTATGTCATCAATGTAGACGAAAATGAACACATTCAAAAAGTCTCTGAGAACATCATTTACCAAGGCTTGAAAACATACAGGGGCATTAGTTAGACCAAAAGGCATGACCAAATATTCAATCTGGCCCAAGGGAGTTTTAAAGGCTGTCCTCCACTCATCTCCATCTCGAATCCTGAGAAGGTGATAAGCGTTTTTTTAAATCGAGCTTGGTGAATACAGTAGCCCCTTGTACTGGTTCAAAAGCTGAAGCGAGTAATGGGAGTGGGTACTTATTTTTAACTGTTATTTGGTTCAGGCCTCTGTAGTCGATACAGGGTCTTAGTGAACCATCCTTCTTGCCGACGAAAAAGAACCCTGCACCCAACGGAGAAGAGGAAGGACAAATTATTCCAGCAGCTAATGACTCATTGATATATTTCTCCATAGTTTCTCGTTCAGGTTTGGAGATATTATAAAGTCTACTGCTGGGTAGAGGCGCTCCTGGTAATAGCTCAATCACACAGTCATATGGTCTGTGAGGTGGAAGGGACGTAGCACTGACCTTACTGAAGACAGGAGCCAAATCATGGTACTCGGAAGGGACAGAAGTAAGGTCAGGAGAGTCCATCTCCCCCCACCTCTAGGAGACCTCACAGCGGGAGCTGCCGAACAGTGGCACGTTTCATGACATGAGGTCGACCAAGATTCCACATGACGATCAGCCCAGTTTATATGGGGGTTATGTCGTTCCAGCCATTCAAATCCAAGCACCAGAGGGGAACATGCAGAGGGAAAAACAAAAAATGTTAAGGTTTCTTGATGATTACCTGAGATTAATAGCTCGAGAGGTTGCGTTTGATGGGTGACCTGGTGGAGTTTCTTTCCATCAATAGCGGAGACACAAAGAGGCTGGGTTAGAGGTACTGTTTCTATTTGAAGCTGCTGGACAAGATTGGAGTCAATTAAATTCCGTTCACAGCCTGAATCGATGAAAGCAGACAAGGTGAGGTTTTGATCAGAGAAAAATAAAGTGGCAGGGAGCATCAGATGAGGAGATTTTTCAGAGTTTACATGGCCCGTCAGACTCCTCAGAACCTCTGACGGGCCCCGGCTTTTGATTTAGCTGGGCATGAAGCGATGAAATGGCCACTCTCACCACAGTAGATACAAAGTTTGCTCAAAAAACGTCTCTGTCTTTCCTCAGGAGTTAGCCTAGTATGTCCAACCTGCATGGGTTCGGCTTCCGTCTCTCCAGCATGAGAGGCCTGAACAGGCAGAGGGAGTGACTGGGTTTTAGACCTCGGCTTGGAAAAAGGTTCTGTGGGAGCAGAAAAAACAGTCACATTATTAGAAGCAGGGGCAGAGACAAAAGAACCTTGATTCCTTGGTTTTGAGCTGTTTTTAGCTTGGATCCTGTTATCCAGCCTAATTGTCAGGCGGATTAATTCTTCAAGTGTTGC